TTTTTTCTAATAGTTTTAAAAATAAAGCAAATGTAATTTTTTCACTGTAATTTTTAAATATTATTAATAATTAAATATTAAATTTAAAAAATTTTTTACCATTCATATTTTACAGTCGTCTTTTATTAACTTATTTTTAATTATGTAATTCATCAATCATTTTTGTCTGTTTTAATATTATTTACGGTAAAAATAATTTATTAAAAATATTTAACTGAAATTGATATCCAGTTTTATTTCATTAAATCTTTGTAAAAATTGAAAAAATTTTGTAAGTTTAAAAAATTTAAGAATAAATTCATTTTATTTTCGTGATCAATAGATAATACAAACTTTGAAATCAAAACTTTTGTATTAGGTGAACTACTTCAAGTCAGCACTTCAAGCCAGCGCGGCTGTGCGGTATGCGTATCTGACTTGCGTTCTAAGGGTTTAGGGTTCGATCCCCCATGCGTGCGAGATTTTTCGTTCTTAGTTTTAAGTGTTATAAGTACAATATTTGTTCATGTGTAATATCAATTATTAAATAATTATTAAATTAAGTATAAGTGCAAAGTAAAAAAAATTAAATATTATGAATTTAAAAAAATAAAAAAATTTCCAACACAAATTATTTTTTGTAAAATAATTTATTAAAAATAAAATAATTTAATTAATATAAATGATAATTATTATTTTAATTATTTATTGTTAATAATATTTTATATATTCTAAATAACATTAACTATTATTGGCTTCACATTACCTGTTCGTGGTAAAAATGGGAGTAATAAGCTAATAAGGATGAAATTTGCATTGGAAAGCGTGTTTTAGCATTTTGTAAAAAAGTGAGATTTTAAGTCCGGATGAGTACTTTGCCAGTATTATGCCAGTATTATTCTAGTACTACGTTAGTACTGGTGAGCGGGACAAAATCAGTACTGGACAGCGTTACCAGCCAGGGTTGGTCTACTACTGGCCCAGTACGGCAGTCAGTACTATTATACTGACTGGCAGTGTTAAGTCAGTACTATGCCAGTGGCACATTTCTACTTGGGGGAGCTTCATTACACACACATTTCAGTTTGTAAAAATTAACTTTAGAGGTTAGTGTTGCAAAAACAAATTTATTTATTTTTCGTTTGATCGTTTAAAAATTTTTTTTGGTTTATTGTATATCTGAAAAAAAATGAAAATCTTGCAAAATGTTTTAGGCTTGGTCTTAGGAAACTTTTTGTTTGAATAATTTTACCCACAGAAAAGCAAAATAAAGTACATTTTAATTTTGAAAAATAAAATCAAGTTGAAAAAATTTTGATGAACAAAATATTTAAACATAAAGATTCATCAGGTTCACTCTAGAACTTTTTGTAAACTTGTATTAATCAAAAAGAAAACCAATTTAGCCAGTACACGGAGAGAAATAGATGGTACGGGGTACTATCTAGATAGTACCAGGTACCATATTTGATCTTACATATACGGACAGCAATCTAGATTCTATCAGTTACTATCCAGATTGTACGGAGTAACATCTTGATTCTAGTGGGTAACATAACCATACTTTTTGTAACATCTTTGATAGTACCGAGTAGCATAATGATAGTACCGGATAACATCTACTTTTTACCATCTCAAGGTCATAAGTTCTTACCATCAATTTCTCTCCGTGTACTGGCTTAATATCGGCTCAATACTGGTTTACCAGTATTGGGAGGGTTATACTGCACCAGTACTGCGCCAGTAGTCAACTCTGGTATAATACTGAAATTTTTGTTTGGGTATTAATTAAAATGGTGTTAAACAATTATAAAAATGGAAGTATATCTATATTTGTGTAAAATAGGATTAATAATAATGAAGTAATTATTTGGAAGTTTCCGTTTAACACATTACACTTATCACTGATAAGAGAATATATTTAAAAATTTCAAACATAATAATTTAAGACAACCTGTTTACTTATTAAAAGTTTATTTTGTATAATATTGACAATGAAAAATCAGTAAACAAATATAAATATTAATTACATAATGAAATATTGTTTTCGATTTTGAATTTTCGTGTATTTATTACATATACGAATGTGGAAAAACCTGCTTTTTTAAATCCCATTGGAATTATAAATATTATAACTCGCTGTGAATTCTTCTAAACATATATCGCTATAGAAAATCTTCTTTGGAATTTTTATATCGTATATATATATATATTTTATAAGCCAACTCACCAATTGCTACAGGTTTCCTAATCATATAAATTGTAGATTCCACATATTCAAAAATTGAGATAACCTTCAAATCCGGATCCAGATTTGAATATATCATATGCGATTTTGTTATACCTATACAGAAGAAAAAAAAATGGAAAAAAAACATTTTGAGAAATTAATGTTTTTGAATTTTATTTTCCAAATTAATTTTTATTAGAAAATAACATTTTTTCATTTTTGTCATTGATATTTTATTTTTACACATATGTTATAAAACATTCTTCATTAAAAATTTTTCTCTAACTTTATTTTTTCCTATCAAACCACAAATGATTCCAAGTTGAATTTCTTTTTCTCATATATACTTTTATTTTAAACAATGATAATGTTGGATATATTTCGATATTTGTGGTCAGGATGATTTTAACATTCAGTTATTCAGTCTGTGATGACTCATCTTTTGTCGTCTCTTTTTTTTTTTTCTTAAATGCAACTTTGGTATTTAAATAAAGCAGGAACTCATCATTTACTCAAAAAAAAAAAATTCTTTATTCTCGAGTAGTTTTTAGACATGTATGAAATTCCTGACAATATTTTTAAAAATAAATTAAAATAATTGATTTTCAAAGAAATATAATTTTTTCTTTTTTTTTCTATAAAGGACATTCCACATAAGATTTCCACTCAAAAAATTTTTTAACTCCACTGAAAAGAAAATTTATTTGATTCAAATACAAATACCATTTAATTGACTCAAATAATAATTATTTGATACAAATAAATATTTATTTGATAATAATCAGGTAATCGATTATTTGTCAAGTGTGTTTATAAAAGTATAAAAAAATTTTTTCAAAATTTTTTATTTTTTTGTAAATAAATTTTTTATTTGGTTCGTAAAAAAATGTTTCTATCATACAAAGAAATATTTTCTTGAATCGTTTTTTTTTTCAAACAAAAAATGTTTTTTACATTTTGTTGTAAAGAAAGAAATTTCGCTTCAATTCTTTTTTTTATATTAGCAAAAAAAAAATGGTCTTTTGCTTCTCCCTCTCTTTGTCTCTCGTCTTTGTGAGCGTAATTATTATGAGAAAAATTGCAATTGAAAAATATGATTTTACGCCAATGTGGGGCTTCTTTTTTTTAGGTCCCTTTCGTAGGAGGCAGCACCTGCTTTCATCCCTGTTTCATTATAAGGGTATAAAACGGGGGTGTGTAACGGCAGGTCACGACAAAAAACTGAGAAGGGGAACTCGGAGATAAAAAGATATAGATTATAAGAAGCGTGTGTCTTTCTTCTCTCTCTTATTCGTTCTCTGGACCACGGTAAGAAGAGGGTCCACCAAAGTTTAGACCCATTTCTTCGTGCAGTTATATAGGAAAGGGGGGGACCCCAGTATTTTACTCACGTGTCCCTTCTTTATTATTCTATGAGACACCTGTGAGCCCGACCCGTATATTTATTTATCCACGGGGGAATCGAATGCACACACACATATATATATATATATATTTCTATATACCTGGCGAGGCGTTGTGGAGGCTGTGAATGCACCCGAATCCACTTCAAGGATGGTCCCTAAAGTTTTTTTTTTTTTTTTTTTATTTTTTTTTATAGAGGAAACCGTATAAGAGGGGTGAAAATTTACCGTGACCTTTCACTATATTCCGACAGTTATATAGTTATACTTTTAGATTTTTGATCTGACATTGGATAGAGAGAACCCCTCTGATCTTGAATTTATATGCACACCAATTCTGATTCATATTATATGCAGACGTAACATCACCCTCGTACCTGGATACAAATCAAAAATTTTACTAAAGAATATTTTCTTTTCTTCGTTTTGCATTTTTCACCTGCTATATTATAGTTTTTTGTGTGTATGTGAATATTTTTCAATAAAAAGTGAAAACTTATTGTTGATATAGTTGATGGAATATATGGAAAAGTATTTTATGGGAAAGAAAAGAAGTGCAATTTTTTATTTGTAACAAAGGAATTGTATTATAGTAATTTTTGAAATTTTATTCATAATCCCCACAGGGAGTCGATTATGTAAATCCATGTCCATTTCTACTTCTATTTCCACTTTTTCCAATTTCCATTCCCACTTCCATTTATTTTAATTTATACTCTCATTTATATTTCCACTTTTTCCAATTTCTATTCTCACTTACACTTTTTCTAATTTCTACTCCCAATTACACTTTCACTTCCATTTTCACTCCCACTTCTACTTTTTCCAAATTTAATTCTCATTTCCATTTTTTCTAATTTACACTTTTTCTTCCGCTTTTTCTAATTTTCTTTCAGATATCGAATTTTTATGTTACAAAATTACTCTCTATCCAAATTTTTATTTAAAAAATTCTAATTTAACCGAATATTAATTTAGCACAATTATCATTTAACAGAATTTTAAATGACTCAAAATTTTCCATTCATCGAATCTTCATTTATCCGAATTTTTATTTGATAGAATTTTTAAAAAGCCGTATTTACATTAGTCGAAAATAGTAAGAAAGATTTCGGCGCGAATTTAAAAATTAACCATTCAGAAATGAAATTATCAAGAAAATTTGGAAAAATGAAAGTGGAAATGGAAGTGAGAGAGAAAATTAGAAAAAGTGTAAATGGAATTATGGTAATGAAAACAAATACCATTTAATTAACTCAAATAATAATTGTAATTGTGTACTCTAATTATTTAATACAAATAAATAATTATTTAGATATAATAGTCAAGTAACCGATTATTTGAATCAAGTAAATTTTTTTTTCAGTGTATAAAATTTTTCTCTACGCTGATGGAAATAATTTTTTTCTGATAAATATATTTTTTACACTTTAAAAAAAAACAAGCATCCTATCTTTATTAGTTTACAATACACATATATGTATACCACTTTGCAAATATCGTAAAGAATAATTCTCTCATCGCGAATACACATCAATCTTTGGTTTGACTATTAATAATACCTTATCAGCGCAATAACTCGCAGTGTAACATTAATTCTGAAACGTGAACAAATTTCTCTTCATAAGTATTATATAGTCATCACTATATTCTAATGTGTACATATATATACGCAATGGAAAGTGAAATTTTGAGCTGCACAATGATTTGGACAAAACATATATTATAAGACAATCTTGAGGTTATAGACTTTGTTAGAAACTCACGGGGAAGACTATAGCTTCCGACTTTCGTTTGTTCGTTCGTTATATAGACTGCGAGAGATCATCAGGTGAGAATTCAAGACGGAGAAAGTGCTTTTCGGTATATATCGTGTAGGAAAAAGAAGACAGTCAATCCTTTATATATATATATATATAGTTATATCTTGGAGACTCGAAGAGCAAAAGGTAAACGCGAACAAACTTTCTGCGAAGGCAAGCCGCGCAGCATCCAATGAACTGGGGGAGCGACCTAAGGAAATTGTCGAGAGTCGACCGGTTTCTTCACCAATCGCTGAATAAGACGATGTCATCGTGCCAAGAAAAGTGGCATTTATTTCTCTGCTAGAAGGATATTTCAGTACATATATATATATATATATAATTTTTTTTTTCCTATCAAAATTAGTCTCTTGTTTCAACATCATTGATGTACCAACTTTGCTCTCGTATAATCAAATTTTCTCTTCCTTTATTTTCAGTACTTTCACAGAAAATTAAAAGGCATTAAAATAAGCTGCAACGCTTCTTATTTTTATCCAATTTTGCTTATTTTAATCCATTTTGGTATTAAAATAAGCAAAATTGGATTAAAATAAGAAGCGTTGCAGCTTATTTTAATGCCTTTTAATTTTCTGTGTTGACATTTGTCACATAATTAACTTTTTTTTTGTTATTCATATACGAAATGCGCGCTCTTTTAATAATCGCAATAATTTCATTTTCCTTTTGATTTAATAGGTAATACATAGTGAATGTCAGAAAATTATTTTTTGTCAACTATTGTTCTTAAGATATTATAAATATCAAATTTTTTTTCCTCTGACTCATTTGGTTTTCAATTTAATCTCTTCGATTTTTATATATTCTGCTACTTCTGCGCGTGTCATATTATACTTATTTTTATATGCGCGTTTTATCATTTTTTTTCCTGTTACTCATTTATTATTGTTTATGTCGTTTTGATCATCCAATAGAAAATCTTATAATTTTGCAAAAAAAAGTAAATCGCATTATTAGTGATTTGTAAATTGGAATAAAGTACATTTTAAAAAGAATTATCATATTTGAGGAAAGAGATATTTTTTTGGGGGTCAGAATTTCTCAATCGAATCACCTAAAATTAACAAACTTAATTTTCAATGTGAAATGGTCTTTTTACTCCTACTGTGATCAAAATAAGTTTCTGAAAACATTTAGAAAAAAAATATTGTTAAAGTTATAAATAATTGACTTCGGTGAGTTCACAAAGTTTATGTTCAAGAATTAAAAATAAAAAATATTTTTTAACTGCAAAATAATAAAATTTTTCTTTTAATTTGTTGTTTCAGAAACATTGGATAAATTTTTTCAAACAAAAAATTATAATAATTTGTATAGAAAAATGTTTTTTTTTTCTAAGTCGTTGATCATAACCGTTTTGAATTTCACCAACGTAATAATTACGATGCTGAAGTTCACGTTTATGATCAACGATTTTTTTTTGTCTCAAAAATTTTTCTTGCAATGTTTATTAATCGACAATTTATAAAAAAAAACATTTTTTTAGATATAATTGTTTATAATTTTCCGTCTTTAAATAAATTTGTTTTCTAATCGTTTATCATAAATGTTGTGGATTTCAGTATCGTTAACAAAATTAAAATTTATAGCTGTTTTAACTAAAAAAAAATATTTTTCTTGAAATTAAGTTGATAAATTAAAAAAAAAAAATTTTTTCTATAAACTTTAAAAAAATTTTTTTATTTATAAAATGTTAATAAAAAACAGTGATCTTCATGTTCTATGTAAAATTTAAATGGTTAATTTAAAATTGTTTTTTATTATTTTTAAATACCACATTCCAAGACGAGAAAAATATATAGTTTTTGTTTTTAAATTTGTCAACTGGATCTCGAGAATTTTTTTTTTTTTTTTTTTTTTTTAAGACAGCTAACAATTGTAACTATAACTTTAAGAAAAAAATTTTGGACTAATATTTTTGAATCTTATTTTGATTACGTATAAAAAAAATTTAACATTAAAAACTAAATACTTTGTTTAGGTGAATTTTTAAAAATTTTAGGTGATCCGTTAGTGAAATTTTGACCCTTTTATCCGAAAATTATATAGTCATGAAACTATTACCTGAAGGACTCATTATATATTCTAAAAAAATATATATATATGTTACTTTTATACAAATAACCGATGTAATAGAATAAAAAATTTAATGTTGAGAAAAAAACAGGAATAAGTATGTGTATAAGAAAAAAACACGAAAATAACAATTTGCGTGAAAAAGTGCAAAATATTTTGTCAAGAACTGAAATGACTAGTGATTGTTATGGAAATGATGTATCTAATAATGAGCCAGAAAAATGCAAAAGATGCTAAAACCAGTTTTGTTCCCAGAGGCCGTTGCATGAAAATTTTTCCATAAAACCGGATATTGCTTGCACATATTGGTTTGTGAATGACTTGGTGCAAATTTGACTACATTAAGCTCCCTGAGAACCGGTCAGAGGCGTCTCCATGTCCGTTTTCATATGTGGAATTCTGAGTTATTGAACCTCTAAACATATATCTATATAATGTTGTATATGATATTTTTGAATTTTTTTTACAATTTTTCCCAAATCATACATATATTTGTCTTTGTCGATTTTTTCACAAGTCAAATTCTATAATTAATTTATATACACTGAGTACATGGAGAGAAATTTCTAGGAAAATTTACCGTACTGCCACCTAAAAGTGAGTGCAAAGTATACACAGAAAATTATAAGGTATTAAAATAAGCTGCAACGCTTATTATTTTAATCCAATTTTGCTAATTTTAATCCATTTTGATATTAAAATAAGCAAAATTGGATTAAAATAATAAGCGTTGCAGCTTATTTTAATGCCTTTTAATTTTCTGTGTACATTCTGGCAGTTTTTACTGTACTGCCTCTACAATCTGTAATGCAAAATTGTAGGGGTAGTACAGCAAAAACTGCCAGAATATACTTTGCACTCACTTTCAGGTGGCAGCACGGTAAATATTTCTAGAAATTTCTCTCCGTGTAGAGAACGATGTTTTTGGTTTATATTATATTTAATTGAAACTGATTTTATCATATTGCTACTCTTTAAATGTGAATTAGTAGTTTTCTACTAATAAAAGAGTACAGATTCGTTTACCAATTGAATTAGTAACAGTTTTGACTCTTTTTTTTAGTAGAAAACTACTAATTCATGGAGTAAATTGGCTTACTAATTTAAAATAGTAAAAAATACGATTTACTCCATGAATTAGTAGTTTTCTACTAGCAATTAGTAGTTTTCTACTAAAAAAGAGTCAAAACTGTTACTAATTCAATTGGTAAACGAATCCGCACTCTTTCATTAGTAGAAAACTATTAATTCAGATTTAGAGAGTATACAGAATGATTATGGATCCCATTTACCTGCCTTGTTACCATTTAAATAAAAATATTAATCCTAATCTCGATCCTAATTTTGATCTCTTTTTCTGCAATGTTCTTTCCAAAAATCTGAATTAGTGAAAAGTGAGTTACTAATTTAAATTATTCAGCATTTTTTTCAAGAAATATATATATATTTTTTTCTTTAAAGTTCAAAAATTGTTACCAAAAATTGAAATTCTTCTGTATTGCATCATGAATACGCAAAGAATGACAGGATCTGCAAATACAATCTTGAAATTCTAGGATGTTTCTTCCAATTTTAGCTGGCTTCAAAATCCTTACAGTTTTACACACCAGCCCTAAAATTTCTCTTTTTTTCATGAAAATAATAATAAAAAAAAAAAAAAGAACAAACGTCATTTCATAGCCCTAAAATTTTACAACAGTTGTATCAAAAAGATCATAAACTGTTTGAGAAAAAAAATATGCCTTCTCTATTGCGTTTGAAAGTGAAATTTTTTTACATCATTTTAATTTTTTTTTTTTATTCTCTTTATTGTCAGAGAAACATTGTAAAAATATATTGTTTTATTTATATATGGTAGGCTGTCAAGAACGTATATGTTGTATGACGTTGAAAGTTTTTGGTGAATTGTGGTTAACTATAATATACATTATATATATATGTGTGTGTATGTATACGTTAAAAGTAAGGATCGGTTTGTATCAGCACAGCGGATGATACAACCATAGGCCTCTTAAACTCTGGCTCTTAACTCTTCGGCTTGAGGCGAGCGTGGACCAGGCACGGCCATATTTCTGACCTTGAAGGGATAAAAAATCTTCAAGACGAGGCTTGGGGCGCCCTCTTTCTCATTCTATCCTTATTCCTCTCTTTCCTCTCTCTTTCTCGCGCGCACTCTCATCCAAGTTCTTTTTTTTCAGTTTTTTTTTTTCTTTCTTGAGGGGCGTCTCGACCTCTCGCTCTTGTGGATATCACTCTCTCTTTCTTCACAGGGCTGTAGTGAAATCACAGCAATTTCTAAATTTTATTCTTTATTGCAAGAGTATATATGTATTTTGTTTTTAAAATATATTTATCACGTTCAATATATTAATGATTATTTTTTTATTCTGCTTTTGTTGCATAAATTGTGTGAGTTTTTTTTTTTTTTCTATTTGAAAAATAATTTTGTTTGTCTTACATTTGTTTTGAAATAATTCTAATCAAAAAAATTTTACTAATCTAAATTTGATTGAGACGGTAAAATTTATTATCCTCACAAATACTATGGATAAAATTTTTAATTTTAAAAAAAGGATATTATCGAAAACGTATAATGGATTAGAATCACTTTAGAATATAGTACAATTCACAGTAATAGATTAACAGATGGTACTAAATGAATTGTAAAAGCTTAACACCAGATTGTAAATGTATAGTGCTGAATTCTTGGGATTTTTTTTTAAAAGGGAAATAGAAATAACATGGTGGATAATAGTTTAGGATTTTTTTTTTTAGTGAGAAAATTTGATTAATTGGGAACCATTGAAGACGTACAGCCCTGATTCTGCATCAGCAAAAGTTTTGCGACTGTCTCTGTCTGTCTCGTTAGGTTTCTTATCTTAAACTCGCTCCGTTCTTGGCGATACCCATCGAGCCTTTCGCAAAAGGGGACTCAGTTACACGCATGTAATATGTTGCATGTGTGTGCCAGCGGGGTTATATCAATTTCTCTGCAATAACAGAACTTATGGTTCGAAGAGCGTTGGTTCTGGTATGTTTAGTCTTCATGTGTTGTTTGGCCATTTCGATTTTACTATAGTCAAATATATATTTTCTAACCAATTAACCAAACAATTGATGTCAAATAGTAGCCCTCCTGCAACAATTGCTTCTATTAAATATGGTCCACTGGATGTGACATGACATTTCTTTATTAGTTACTTATTGCTTTCAAAGCATATTAATAAATATATATATATGTGTAAAATTGGGTCATTCATTAAGAAAACACCATCTTGTTGATCAACTATGAAAACATTTTACATTATTTATTCTCATATATATTTTTGACTTATTTTTACTTACGAATATAAATATTTCTCAAAGGTTCGTTTTTAAGTATTTTGTTTCTTAATAAATATCCAAATAGCATGTAAAATATAGTGTGGCAAAATTTCCGTAAGCTTCAAATTTCTTACCTATGGTAAGCGTACAGTGTATAGGCTTGAGGCAAGTAAAACAAGAACTGTCCGCAGTTTCTGATAACACAGCCCCACAAAAAAAAAAAAGTGTCATGTACTTTTGACCGGAATACCCTAACCCTATGTATTTTGACGCGCTGAACACGAATCCGAAGTCCGTTTTGCTCCATCACGTCAGGATTTTTTTCTAACCTCAAAAAACATGTCGGATTTTGAGAAGTAGGCGATTTTTTTAAAAATTGATGTATTAACTTCAAACTTGGTATCTGGGGGTTTTTTGTGTCGCTGATTACGAATCTGAAGTTAGATTTTCAAAATCAAAAATGGCAGATCCAATATGGCGGACGAATTTTGAAAAAATTTTAAGATTTACTTCAAACTTGGTATCTAGGGGTTTTTTGGGTCGCTGATTACGAATCTGATGTCAGATTTCCGAAATTCGATATGTCTGATTCAATATTAAGGAATTATTTTTAAAAAATTGTCAGATTATTATGAAATTTGGTATCTACAGGTTTTCTAAGTTGCTGACAAGTAACACTAGGGAAGTGCCATACGCCGATTGTTCTGAAACTTGGCAGTTTTGTAGTTTTTTGAAAACAATTTGACACGTATGTTTTGTTTTTCCCCAAAAGCTGTTTTATGGGGAGGAAATACCCCTTGAATTTTTTTTGGTAAGGGGACATTATTTTACGAAATTTTTCAAAAATTAATGTGCAATAGTGTATCTGGGGGTTTTTTGGGTCACTGATTATGAATCTGATGTCAGATTTCAAAAATTCAAAATGGCATATCCAACATGGACTTCTATCGGCCACATTAGATACGCCATTATCAATTTTTGAAAACTGACATCAGATTCGTAATCAGCGACCCAAAAAACCCCTAGATACCAAGTTTGAAGTAAATCTTAAAATTTTTTCAAAATTCGTCTGCCATATTGGATCCGCCATTTTTGATTTTGAAAATCTATCTTCAGATTCGTAATCAGCGACACAAAAAACCCCCAGATACCAAGTTTGAAGTTAATACATCAATTTTTAAAAAAATCGCCTACTTCTCAAAATCCGACATGTTTTTTGAGGTTAGAAAAAAATCCTGACGTGATGGAGCAAAACGGACTTCGGATTCGTGTTCAGCGCGTCAAAATACATAGGGTTAGGGTATTCCGGTCAAAAGTACATGACACTTTTTTTTTTTTGTGGGGCTGTGTAATTTTTACTCCAGAAATAGTAAAATTTACTCCTGAAATAGTAAAAATTATTCCGGAAATAGTAAATTTAACTATTTCTGGAGTAAAAATTGCCAGACTAACTGTTTTGTGAAAACAAAATACTTTTTTCATTTTGTACAATAATTAAAAACATCGCCTGCAAAGTCCTGAACGTTAGTGAAAATAATAAATTATTAATTTATTATTTTCGGATACAGAAGGAAAATATTTTTTATATAGTAAAATTTGAAGTTAAAAAAGAGTAGTAAACAAAAATTGTCTTTTATAATTTCAGGCATATATGAGAGATTCTTTTTCAATCGCCCCAGCCCAAAAAGTCAATGTTCTGGGATTGGCTTCATACTTTGGTAAATTGTTGTCCTATATGATAGTAATAAATCCCTAAAATATAAACTAATTAAAAAAATATTTGTAGAAAGTAGAGGGGGTTGAAGTTTTGACGTTAAGGGTAACATTGTCATTTTCAAATCCGTTTAACTATGACAAAAGTTAATGGATTTTAATTTATCTATAATGAATTTTATTGAATTTTTCACGTACTTTTCAAAAATGTATATGAAATTTAAAAAAAAAAATTTTTAACCCCTTTTTTGTCAAAATCAACCCTTATTTTTCGATTTTCACCCCTTCGGGTATTTTTTTTTTTTTTTTTTTATTTTCATTGGAAAGCTGAGGTTTTTTCCGATGAGCTATGTAAATATGAAAATGGGACAACAATAATTTTGTGAGTAACAGAATATTAAAGTAGGCGGTGCCGATAAGGGGTGTACCTGGAGATCATCTTTGAGGATTTAGATAGGCACCGCCTAATTTAATATTATGTTTCTCACAAAATTATTGTTGTCCCATTTTCATATTTACATAGCTCATGGGAAAAAACCTCAGCTTTCCAATGAATATAAAAAAAAACAAAAAAAAATTCCTGAAGGGGTGAAAATCGAAAAATAAGGGTTGATTTTGAAAAAAAAGGGGTCAAAATTTTTTTTTTTTAAATTTTGTATACATTTTTGAAAAGTACGTGAAAAATGCAATAAAATTCATTATAGATAAATTAAAATCCATTAACTTTTGTCATAGTTATACAGATTTCGACAGATTTGAAAATGACAATGTTACCCTTAACGGCACCCTTATCGGCACCGCCTACTTTAATATTCTGTTTCTCACAAAATTATTGTTGTCCCATTTTCATATTTACATAGCTCATCGGAAAAAACCTCAGCTTTCCAATGAAAATAAAAAAAAAAAAAAAAAAAATACCCGAAGGGGTGAAAATCGAAAAATAAGGGTTGATTTTGACAAAAAAGGGGTTAAAAATTTTTTTTTTTAAATTTCATATACATTTTTGAAAAGTACGTGAAAAATGCAATAAAATTCATTATAGATAAATTAAAATCCATTAACTTTTGTCATAGTTAAACGGATTTGAAAATGACAATGTTACCCTTAACGTCAAAACTTCAACCCCCTCTACTTTCTACAAATATTTTTTTAATTAGTTTATATTTTAGGGATTTATTACTATCATATAGGACAACAATTTACCAAAGTATGAAGCCAATCCCAGAACATTGACTTTTTGGGCTGGGGCGATTGAAAAAGAATCTCTCATATGTAAAAAAAAAAAAAAAACATTTGAATTGGTTAAAACAGAAAGGGGAAAATAAACGAAAAATATACATTTTAGAAGATACCTAATTTCAATTACAAATGACATAACTTTTTTACTCAGATAAAATTTTTTTTTTAGAAGAGTTGGATCTAAAACCTGTTTTTTGAATGTTTCTGGTTCCATTACTTATTTTTTTTTTGTAGTGCTCATTTCTGAGTATCAATTCACGTTTTTCCATTTGAGCACGCCCCCAGGGTCGTTTTAGATAAACAAAAATTAACGTCGCGCTGCCTCGCGACACGTTTAAAATCCGGTTGGAGCATTTCGATACGGTGTGAATATTGTGAAAATCAACGTATACTGTATGTGAGACGTACCTCTTATGCACCATCATCCTTAACCCTCGACTCTCATCCCTTCTTGTCGCAGGTCAGCAGCAATTATTGGTCTAGCTCAGGGGTCCTCTGTTGCATCAACTTTGACAAAATAAATTTCCATTTTGGACAAGGTAAAAGTTAGTGGGCTTTTATATATATTTTTTCTTACAATACACACACACACACAGAATATACATAAACTTCCTTAAGCAGTCTAGACTTGTTTGAAGTAATGGGACTTTAAATTTGACCCTGAACAAAAGCTCTCGAATGTTTTTGGGACCTTCAAAAATTATTTTTAAAGCCAAAAAGGAATTTTTTTTCTATATATATGCTTATTTATTGTGCAATTTTTAATCTTGAATTATTTGTTTATTTTTCTCATGTAGAAGAATAGTAAATATTTTTGATATTTAATTAATTGTACCTATTGTTATCATTTTTTTTTTAAATACATTTTTTATTTTTTCAGTTCACGCCGATATGACAACCTGAAGGACAAAAGATGAATGTAAGTAAAGTAAAATTTTTTGTAATATTCTAAAATTTGTCTTTGTTTTGTTTGGATATATATATACCCTATCAAAAATTGGCTACTGTCACAGTACTGGCGTTGTACTACTTTGGCAATTTTTGGTATGTATTTTATATAAATTTTGTGAATATTAAAATATTTGAAAAATTAAAAATTCTGTTAATTTTGGTAAATAATTTCTTCGGTAATTTAAAAAAAGAAAAATTCTCATATATTTTCAACTTGATTAATGTTTGGATTAATTGTCTCGTGTTTTGAATATATAAAAACTTCAATTAAGCCCATTGTGGAATACTATGGAGGGAAATGTTAATTTTAAATTGACATGGCGAAGTAAATGCTATTGTCGAGGTCAGAAATGTACAGCTGCAGTTAATTTTAATTTTTTTTTTTGGCCCTCTCCTTTCGTTTTTGTTTTGAAATTTTCTCTCTTTCTCTTCCATATGTTGAAAAGAAATGCATTTTTGTCCTGTCACATGGGAGCAAGCCAATAGATTTTTCAAAAGAAAAGTTTCGCCTTTCAAATGGTCCCAGATCGGTGTCAGACCCCATGCGTCTGCGATGGATCAAGATGCGAAATTTGCCTTTTTGGGGATCTCTCTCTCTCTCTCTCTCTCTCTCTCTTTTTCGCGTTATATTTATATGCTTTAAAGAATCGAAGAGATGGGTTCTCTCTGCGGTGAGTCGAGAGAGAAAAAGAGAGAGAGAGAGAGAGCCCTGCACCTATTCGAGTTTCATTTTTCAAGGGGTCTAAAGGACCTGCTCTTTGCCCCCCCCCCCTCTATCTCTCTCTTTCTTTCGCACATATGGGCCCCTCCTTCAGTCAGGGCTATACAAAATGCTTTCTTATTTTGGTTCTTGGTTCGTTCCTCTCCAAGGGCCAACTCACGTTGCCAGATTTCATCTCAGACACGACTTATAACCAGTACCTTTTTTAAAGTAGTTTTTTCTCTCTCCGAATTTCGACCCAAGTTCTATGTACACATATTTTTATTTATTTATTTTTTCTTCAATTTAATTCTAACTGTTCCAAATTGTTCCAAATTAGAAAAAATTTATTTTTCATTATTTATATTAGTTAAATCTATTTTATTTTTTCATAATTATACCAAAGATAATATAATTCTATTGATTAAATTAATTATTTTTATTTTTATTAAAATTTTTTTTTTCATAACGAGAAATGAATATTTGTGATTTATTTATTTTTAATTTTAATATTTTGGCATAATTTTTATTGTTATTTGAGAGAGGGAAATTTGGAAGAAGAAAAATATTTTTGTTATGAATTGGAACTTTGTGTAAATTTTATGATTCAATAATCGTTCCAAACTGATGACTAGAAAAAATAATCCTGTCAAAACAACCTGCCACTCATTGAACTCTGAAAAGTCGCATCGTAATCGATGCATGAAGAGCCATCCTTGAGACTCTCCTCTCTTGTGAACTTTTATTATAAAGAATTTTGACGAGAAACGAATATATATATATATATATATATATATATATATATATATATATATATATATTATAGTAAAATGCACCTCTTCACCCAACTGCAGTATGCTTTCGTAACCATTTTCACTAAGTGCCTGTTATTAATGAATAGGACAGACGTCAAGAAATAAATAAACAGAACAATAAAATCGTATTGAAAAGGAAATGTTCACAAAACGAGGCGTTTATAAAAGTTTTATGAGCCAAGGAAAAAATTTTATTTAAAAATTAATTTAAAAGATATTTTAAAACTACTTTTCAAATTAATAATTGTCAAAAAAAAAAAAATTGAAATTAAAAAATAAGAAAAAATATGAAATTGGAGTAAAAAAAAAGTTTAATAATTAAAAAATGAAGAGGTGCAATGTAGACCTTTTTATTTTATAATGATAATAATAATAATAAAAAATATTAAATATTATTATAATAATATAAAAACAGTTTTAACATAAAGTAAATATTAAAAAAAGTTGAATTTATTAATAACTTCTTTTTGGATTAGGTATAATAAAATTTAATCGCGTACATATAAAAATGTAGTTTATTACATAAAATGAAAAGTGTAAGTAAGCAAAAATAATGAGAAGCCTAAATTACATTTTTTTTTAGTTCTCTCAAGATAAGGGGAACTAGAAATAAAAGCGATTTATCAGAAAATGTTTCATGTGTGAAAAACATTATGAAATGATTAGTTCATTATCGTAATACTATATAGAGATAATAGAGGCAGAAATTTTATTTATTTTTATTTTTTATTTCCCAGTGATATAAGAATCACTCTAAATTTCACTTGATGTTCAAAGTTTAATATAATTTAGCAATTTTTACCATCATTAATTTCGCAAACGTTCACTATATATATATACACTATTGAGAGTTTCCCCTATTACTCCATTTTTTTATCTATATTTTAAAGAATAATTTCGTGGTCTATAGCTTCACCTCGATAATTTCCGGTTTTAAAATATTGGTGTAAATTTTGTAATTTATATATTTATTACTTTATCGTCAATTTTATTATCAACTGTTACAAATTGTACATATTTTGTTATATAATTTATTATTTTATTTATTATTTCATTTGTCATTTAATTTTTTATTACATTTATTATTTAATTTATTAAAATATAAATTTACTAGTTTTTAATTTGTTTGTAATTTTTTTTTAAGCGAAAAGAAAAAAGTGAGTTGAAAATCATGTTTTTTTTCAGTAACAATTATGTTTACAGACTTTAACGTATCTATAATTAAAACATTTATGAAATGATCATTAAAGTACAGTAAATATGAAAAATAACGATATTCAACAATATTATAGTTTGTAAATTTTTGTATTCGACTGTACGTGGCTCAGTTGTTTACATTTTAACTGGTGGCAGCGTTGCCAAGTCTAAAAAGACCTGTTGCTCACATCACGTTAAGCATTTCCCATTAATGTTTGGTCCTCGATTTAATTCGCCATCCCCGTAATCTTGATTATCCACTCATTTGAAAAAAGGGACCAAAAAAAAAAAACAAATTCCAAATTAAATTTCATCTTTCGTGACACAAAACTTGAAATGATCTTTTAGATAATTCTATATTTTTTGTTTATTTAGATAAAAAATAATAATAAATTCCATTTCGTTTTTTATGCAATATTTTTGTCATTTTTCTCTTTTTTAATTTTTTGCTTTCTCACTTTTGAACTGAATATAATTTATTATGTACACGTATAACTTGTATCAGAAGAAAAATTTGGATCAATGCGAGTTGGTGAAAAAAAAAAAATATGTGGGTAGAATTATTCATATACATATATATAGGGTTCGTTGATTCAATGACCTTCTTAACTGATAGTCTCATTCTAATATTATTTGAACTGGAAACTCTCTTTAACGTCAGGTTTTTTTTTCCAAGTTTTATATTCTAGGTTTTCATATATTTCACAGACAGCGAGAAACTCGAACTTTAGAGTTTCCCAAGTAAAGTATATCGGGTGTATAGAGATGATAAGGATTCTACTTGCGTGGGTTCGTATGTGCTGTTGAACGATAAGAACTTATCATATCCGGCTCCTCTTACACATATATACTTGGGACAGTTACTTTAGAAGTATAAAATTTAATACGAACTCAATTTGACTCACCCTTTTTTTTCATCTCTTCCCTCTCGCATCTTTAACCTTCACTATTTCATCTTTAAATTCATTTTTTTCTTTTATCAGAATTGTAAATAACTTTTGATAAAGAAAATATATATATAATCTTGAGAAGTTTCAAAATTTGATAAAAAAAAATCTGCACTAAATAGAAATTTTGCAAAAAAAAGTTATGTATTTTTTTTCTCATATATTACCTGAAATTGATTTATTTTCACTTTTACTTTCAGTTATTGCAAACTTTCAAAACTTCCGTATTTATTTGTGTTAAAAAGAAAAGAAAAAAAAAACTTTCAGTATATTGTATATATTGACAGTTAATCATGGACCATGAAAGATTAAATTTGCAGTAGAGACAGAGAGTGATATATAAGTTGAAAACTATATGCTCACAATTTTTTTGAAATTCAATACTTTGCAACACAGACATTTTGACAATGTGAATTGTCATGAACCACTTGTAACCGGTTTTTAGTAAATATACACATATCTTAAAGTAATTGTTACAATCATTATATTGCATTTAACAAATTATATTAAACTGGTTTATCTAATCATTACATTCCTTACAATACATAGTTTTATTATTATTCTATCAATCTCTACGTGAAAATAATTTCGGCATTCTTATATAATTACTTTTTTTTTCATTTTTATCGACAGTCTTAATTAATTCAATTTCATTTGTGTCCTTTTTTTTATTAACCCATTGCTTATCGATAATTATGAATCTGACATCAATTTTTTAAAATTCAAAATGGCGGATCCAATATGGCGAATCAAAATTACTAAAAATGGGCAGATTCACCTGAAACTTGTTACTCAGGGGTTATTGGTGTCAGTTTTTCAAAATTCAAAATGGCGTATCCAATATGGCGGAAAACTGTTTAAAATTGATCGACTTCGCCTGAAACTCATTATTCAGGGGTTTTTGGAGTCGTTGATTATGAATTTGGCATCAGTTTTTCAAAATTCAAAATGGCGGTTTAAAATTGTAATAATTTCGATCCGCCATTTTGAATTTTGAAAAACTAAAATCAAATTTGTAAGTAGTGTCCTCAAAAACCCCTGAGTATCGAGTTTCAGGCGAATATGATGAATTTTTAAAAAGCTGCTCGCCATATTGAATCCGTCATTTTGAATTTAGAAAATTTTTAAAAACTGACATCGTATTCGTAATTAGCGACCCCGAAAACCTTAAGATACAATACTCCTTTTTTTTACCGGAAAAATACCTACGGACAGTCTAAACAAAAGTTAGTCACAATTTCACATTTTCGTATTTTTTGATTAAAAAAAAAGTATTTAATACCATTCTTAAACCGCTGAATTTTCATTT